TCCAAATATCATCACACTGGCAATATGAACTCTTGTAGATGGAAATAGTCAGTCCATACAGGGATTTTTCTTATTCACCCATATTTTAAATCTTTCTTGAATATAATGGTATTAAGCAGAGATGGGCTGCACATTACTCTGTTCAGAATCCTTCTGCTGAAGGACATGTATCACAATTTCAACAAATGGGAAGGCATTGCTTGGGGACAGAAAGGCAATATCATAAATGTCACTTCTCCCGAAATAAATGTATAAATTTAATGCAATACAAATTAGAATACCAAAAGGTTTTTCTAATTTGAGAAAACTATCCTCATTTATGTAGAAATAAAATTAACTTAGAGTAGGCATTAACAGTGTGAAAAACAGCAAGAGGGATTTAACTCTTATACTACAGTATGGAAACACAATATGGCTAATGTTAAACTAATTAGCTGAGGTCCTGGAAGCTATGGTATTTGTATAGGAACAGAAAAATAGACTAATGAAACAAGAAAATATAGAAATGTCTTGGTATTCTGGTAAATGAAAATATAAGATAATTTCAGTTGAGGGGAAAGATCATATGAGTAAATGATTACATAGCAAAGTTCCAGTTCAATAGAAAAAGGAGTAAGCCCACTGATCCATATCTGGAAAGGTTTTTCCCACTGATCCATATCTGAAAGATGACTTTAGGTTTGAACTCCTGTAGATGGAAACAGCCAGTCCACAGCATCCTTTCTATCACAGCATCCTTGAAGAAAGTAACATTGTAAATCCCACACCTGTAGGCTTTACCTAGATCAGGAGATCTGTGAATTGGCACATAGACAGCCTATGTGCCTAAACCATTATATGTCTTGAGGAAACCAAGGTAGTGGAGTGGCTTCCCTATGCTTAAGTAGATATCGGTCTTCCACCTGAGTGTGCCCCATGTGATGGTGGCACACCATGCATATATGAACTGGTGGATTATTGTAAAATGCCCTGGATGAGAATGTTAATGTTTCCCAGTGCTGAGGTCCTGAAAGCTGTGCTTGCTTGGACAGTTGCAGGACAGTCTAATAAACATATTGTGAAGGAGTTTTCTTATCAGGATAAAGCTGCCAATAAAACGAATTCAGTGTTAAAGCCCATTCAGTTTATTTAATTGCTAGATCACATCTGAGATTGTGCTGATGTCAGTGCTGTGTGATTGGCTATTGAACATATTAAACTATTTTACTGAATTGTGCTTGTACAATAGGAATCCATCTGGAAGAAAATAACAATGAACCTCTCTTTATATGACATTAAATTCTACATGCATTACATATTTACATATTGAGATAACCAAATTGCAAGGCAAACTAAGAAATAATATATGCAATCTAGAGATTAAAAATATATTTATTGTTGTTTTATTTCACTATTCATACCCTCTATGCCCTCTTCCACTTCCAGCCTCCCCAAAGTATCTTCCTAATTCATAAGCTTAGAAAAAAATTAGTACATATTCAGTTACACAGGCATTTAATATTATTTAATGGAAAAAAATCAAATTTTTATAACAAAAATTAGACAAATTCCCACTAGCTAATATATGAAGAAGTCTTCAAACTGTAAAAAACAACAACACACATACACACACACACACACACACACACACATGAAAACATAATCCTTTAGGAAAATGGGTTAACAATATCAAAATTTACAAAGCAAATCCAGGAGTAGGTGAGTTTTATACTCATCAGACCAGCATGAATTTAAGCATGTCAATACCATCTATTGCAGACTACATGTCTTTTTATCTATTTTTAAATTAAATTTATCGGGGTGACATTGGTTAATGAAATTATATAGATTTCAAATATACAATTTTTTGATATATGGCCTTTATATATTGCATTGTTGCCCACCACCGTAAGTCATATCTTCAGTTACCATATATTTGACCCTCTTTACTACACCCTAAACCCTTCCCTCCAGTTACCACCATATTGTCTTATTTGTTCATTTGTTACTTTCAGTTTTATATCCTACATGAGTGAATTTGTGGTTCTTGACTTTTGACTTTTTATGTCTGACTTTCACTTAACAGATATTCTCAAGATCCATCCATGTTGTCACAAAGGCAGTATTTCCTCTTTTCCTATGGCTAAGTAGTATTCTATTCATTTATGTACAGCATTTCTTGTCTTTTTAAAATTGACTAACAGTATCTAGTAAAATGTTTAAATAGCATATATTTTTTGATATGTCTAGCAACCTCTTGCCTATAATCTACTGTCCAGTAATCAAATAACTACATGTAAGGGTATTTACTCAAGTTTATTTGTGGTGACAATAACTAGCAACAAGATGAATCAATAGGAAATGGGTGAATAAATTTATAGTGCACAGTATCACAGAAACTGTGCAGCAATTTCTCATCTTACTTTACCTGACCATTATAATTATTCTTTTTGTTTTTTAATCCTTATCCAAGGATATTTTTTAGACAGATGGAAAAAAGTGGAGGGAAGGAGAAAAGGGGAAAAGAAACATTAATGTGAGAGAGACATATTGATTGGTTGCCTCCCATATGTGCCCCAACTGGAGCTGGGATCAAATCTGCAACTAAGGTACATGCCCTTGACCAGGAATCGAATCCACAACCCTTTGGTCTGTGAGTTGACACTCTAACCACTGAGCCAAACAAGCCAGCGCTATAATTATTCTCATTGCTGGGTCTTGGCACTGGCCACTTTTAGGCAGCAAAAGATAGTCTTCTTAGTTTGGCCTGACTTGAGTTCCTCATTCTTCTGCTGACTTCAAAGGTACACAGCACAAAGGCCAAACACATAAGGAATATGAGAGAATGTTTAGTGAAGACTGAAGTAGAAGAAAACTTAGATTTGTGAATATATTATGCATATTGTTGGGATATATTACCTCAGAAAATCAAGCACTGGTATTTATAATCTTACTTCAAGACTAACCTTCAAAGAAAGATGCTAATAACAAAAAGTACAGTTCTCTAGTTATATTAGCATTTTATTATCTTGAGTTAAAAGAAATTGATATATGTAAAACTAACCTAAGGTTTAAATGTTACTCAAAATACATGACTCCCTGGGTACATATTAACAAAGAGCATTAGGAGATTTCTACCTGTCATATTGCTGTGAAAAGGGATCAATCATCCATTTCAAAAAAGATTTGCTGAAAAAAATAAATAGTTTAGGTCCATCTCTCTTTTCTGCACCCCTTTCTCTATGGAAACAAACAAATGAGAATTGATTATGTCTGGCAGAAGAGAGAAAAATATTAGTTTGAGGCTAAACCATAAGAGTGGATGTTTTACTCAGTGCCAATTAAAAAATGTAAGAGCAACATGGTTTCCTCATTTTAAAATGGTCTATTTTCCAATGCCAATACTGGTTATATGAGGTATAAAACTTTCTGATAAATGTTTCAGTGAAAATTAATTCTTTCCCTCTACCAGGCTGTGTGTGTATTATTAAATTCTTTCATGTATGTGATTCAACCAATCTGTTACAAAATTATGCTATAACTTCTGAACAGAAACCACACACAGTAATGTGACATGTGAGAGTAAATTTAAATAATTGGATCTATTAAGCTGCCATCAAAATTAAAATTTTTTTCATATTTAAAACATAATTTCAGAAAAATTGCCTTCTGACTGGGAATGTGTGTCCATTTTAATATGTACTTCATATACAGGTTTCCTACTCTTATCTTTATCATTTTTAATTTTCAGAAGTTTAAAAGAAATAGAACAAACAAACAAACAAACAAAAAACAACACATATATTGCCACAACCCAGAATTAACTAACATTCTGTTGTGGTTACCTGGAATTTTTATTTCTTTTTAAGGATGGATGTTTAGATACAAAACTGAAGTACTCTTTTAACTACCATGCTTGATCCCACTTCCCTTCCACTACCTTTCTTTCTGTGGAAATCACTTTTGGGAAATGAGTGTGTATCTTTGCAATGCATTTTTCATAGTTTTATATAAAAATATCCTTCCATAACCAATGCTTACTACTGGTGTTGGTTAATGGTGACTTAATTCAAATTTACACAGATTATTTTTTCACTCTAAATATTTTTTCAGATGTTTCCTTGTTAAGTATATTTAACTACTAGAAAATATTCTGTGTGACTATATCATTTTATTCAACCATTTCACAAGAGACAGACATACGTTTCTAATATTTTGCTAATAGAATTCATGATCCAATGAATGTTAAAGTACATGACTCCCTGGGTACATATTATGTTTCTTGGGTATACATATATATACTCGAGTGAGTTTTCTGGAATAAATTTTAGAAATTTTTTCTTACTCCAAGGTTTTAAAAACATTCTCCTATAAAACTCATATTACTATTTCACATTTTGCATTCTAGTCTTCAATATTATTGGATTTCATAAGTAAATATTTAAAGTATTATGACAGCAAATATCCTAATATGTTTCCATATGAAGTCAATTACCCTGAGTCCACTTTTGACTCACGCATGATTTCCCTACCAACCTGTGATACACATGTCAATTACGAATTCCTTCATAAAGGTGTGCATATATTTCAGAATATAATATTCTGTCAAAATCTATTTTTTTTCCACTGAACCAAACCAGTGCCGGCCATAATCTATTTTTTTAATGATTGGAAAAGAGCAAATAATTGATAATTACCCAAATAGCAAAACATATAACATGACAATTATTCCTCTTACTGCATCAGGTAGGCCTTCCAGAACCATGCTGATTGATGTCCATGACTAGATCTTTACTTCAATGAGAATGCTACTAAGAAGTACAGCATTAACAGTGTTTATTGTGTTGGCTCTGGAAGTATAAGTTTTTATAACACTATACTTTTTATTTAAAAAATTTCAGTATTTTGAGTGCTGAAGGATTTTCCATGTTCATGTCACTTTAGTGTAAGATGGATTTTCTGATATACTACAAATATGAATTCTATTGAAGGTTTTCTAAGTTCAGGGCATTCATAGAATTTTAATGAGTATGAATTCTCTGGTGTCTAATATTGTGTGACTTCTGGCTAAAAGCTTTCCCACATTCACTACACTGATAAGGCTTTTCTCCAGTATGGATTCTCATATGTAGAGCAAGAGTTGAGAACTGAGAGAAGGCTTTTCCACATTCATTACAACCATAGGGCTTCTCACCTGTATGGCTTCTCATATGCACAGTAAGAGATGAGCTTTGACAGAAGGCTTTCCCACATACTTTACATTCATAAGGTTTATCGCCTGTGTGGATTCTCACGTGTACAATAAGTGATGTAATTCGAGAGAAGGCTTTTCCACATTTATTACATTCATAGGGTTTCTCTCCTGTATGAATATTGTGATGTTTAATGAGGTATTGCTTTTGCCTAAAGATTGTTCCACATTCATTACATTTATAGGGTTTTTCTCCAATATGAATTTTCTCATGCTCAGTGAGATTGGATTTACCACTGAAGGCTTTCCCACATTCTTTACATACATAGGGTTTCTCTCCTGTATGACTTCTCTGGTGTCTAATGAGGCTTGATTTCTGGATGAAAGCTTTCCCACACCCTTTACATTCATAAGGTTTCTCTCCAGTATGTATTCTTTGATGGATAGTGAGGTTTTCCTTCTGGCTAAAAGCTTTTCCACACTCATTACATTTAAAGGGTTTCTTTCCACTATGAATATTCTGATGTTTAATGAGGTATTGTTTCTGGCTAAAGTCCCTTCCACATTGATCACATATAAATGGTTTCTCCCCAGTATGAATTTTCTCATGCTCAATGAGATATGATTTGGCATTGAAGGCTTTCCCACACTCTTTACATGCATGTGATTTGTTTTGAGAATGTCCTCTCTGGTGTTTAATAAGACCTGGCATCTGTATAGAAGCTCCTCCATTTTCATAAGGTTTCTCTTCAGTATGATGTTTCTGATGAGAAAGAAAGTTTCTCTTCTGGCTAAAGGCCTTTTCACATTTACTGCATTTATATAGTTTCTTTCTTGTATGACTTCTCAAATGTAAAGTAAGAGATGAGACTTGAGAGAATACTTTACCACATTCGTGACATTCATGCGATTTCTCTCTTGGGTGCATTTTTCTTATGCTCTATGAGGTTCTGCTTCAGGCTAAAGAATTTTTCACATTTATTACACTCATAAGGTTTCTCTCTAATATGAATTTGATTATAGTGAAGGAGATTCAGTCTGACGGCTCTTCAACATTATTACCATGAAGATATTTTTTCCAATAAGACTTCTTTAGTATCTCTTGATGTGTCACGTAGATGAAAGCTTTTCCATTCACTAAATTCATATGGTTTCTCTCCAAAATCAATCCTCAGATATCTAAGCAAGTTGAATTTATGATGGAAATCTTTTCACATTGTTTATTCTGAGGTTAGGCAAAACAGGCAGATCTTAAGAATCAATGTCTGTGACCAGAGGAAATAATTTTCTGTTTCCTATGTTTTCTGAGTACTTCCTTAGCTGTATTTTCATGAAGAAGGATGAGACTTAACTCATAAGTCTTTCATGATGTGTCTTTATTTATAAATTTCCCAGGTCTCTTCTAAAAGGGGATATAAAAAAATCATAATTGAAGAGTTAATAACTATAAAATATTTAGTGCCTGGCATGTAATTTACATCCAATAAAGCAGCTATTGCCATCATCAACATCAGTATCACTTGTCAATTTCTCCACATTAGTAAAATTTAAAAATATTCTACTATAAATAAACTAATTCAAATCTACAATACATATAAAAGAAAATTCAAATACAAAGACAGTCATGAATACATGCAGTTTAAACTGCTTTTAAATGTAATGTTGCACACTTCATAAATTAGTAAAATAAGAGAAATATCTTTATGTGGCAGATGATAGGATGAAAGGATAAATATAAAATTGGAAGAGCCTAGGGTGGAGAGATAAAAGAAAATGAAATAGAAATATTATTAGAGAGGATGTGTGGTTAAATAAGATACAGCTATGCCCTGTATAATATTTTGGTCAATGATGGACTGCATATATGACAGTGGTCCCATAGTTTATATACAGTATATATAACCTAGGTATATAATAGGCTATACCATGTATAATAGGTTTGTGTAAATATAATCTATGATGTTTGCACAGTGATGAAACTGACTGAAGCATTTCTCAGAATGTATATGTCCATCATTAAGTGGCTCATGACTTCATTTATTTCCACACTTTCCTTCTTCTCCATTAAAATATTAAGGGGGTGAGAGGGAGCACATAATCATGAAAACTAAAAGGTTGTGGAGATATTAGGAGATGAAAAGTTTTAGGAAATTTTGAAAAGAAAAAAATAATGGACTGTCAATTAACTATAGAACTCAGTGGCATAAGTGAAAAGCTAACAGATGAGGATGACACCTAAAAGCAAGGTAATTTGTAATACAGCTGTCAACAGAAAGGCTTTATAGATGAAGTGAAAGGTGAAGCTTAAATAAAATGAATATAAAAAGAGAAGTTGATGCACCCAACTCTCCTAGTTGGAACAAAATGGGAATTTATTATCCAGACAAAGTATAATGGAAAGTCTCCAAATTTAGTAATGACAGGAAAAGTAGGTAAGAGTACATAAAAGAAGAGGATGAATAAAAGTTCATATCAGAAGACAGTCCCAATCCCTTTCTACTGCTGAACTCTAGATGTGCTGTGGTTGCCAGGTGTCATATGACAGAAAGGTTCTTTTGTGAAAAAAATGAGATCTTGGAGTCACATCCAGGAAACACATAGATATCTGACTTAATGCCGTTCAATGAAGCTCACCATTTCACAAACTCACACTTGCACAGAGATTGCAATAATCTTTCTTGTCATAATGTTCATCTTTTTTTAAAAAATTATTTCTATTTTATTTTCCCCCAATTTTTATTAAGATATTATATGTGTACATACCTTACCATTGCTTCCCCGCACCCCATAATATTCATCTTAATGTAGACCTGAAGATCACAAAAAACTTGATGAAAGCCTAGCATGAAAGGTAGATCAAAACAAAAATCAAGATGGACGGTAAAATCTCGCCATCTTGAAGGGAAGATTGGATTGTGTCAGAGGCCTGAATATCCACAGCCACAGTGACCACCAAGCAGGTGTGACCCCAAGAACGCTGATCCCAGGCGGTGCAAACACTTGGACTCAAAGGAGTGCCCCACTGCACAGCAAAAAGGTCAGACTTCGCGGGGAGAGGGTGAGTGAGTGCTTCTGGCAATGACAAAAGCCCTCGCACACTGGGCGCATAGAAACTGGAGGACAGGGGTGGTGATTACAAGTAGAAGACCCTGGCTGTTGGGCGGGTGTCACCCGTGAAAATGGATGGGGCTCCTAATAGGGGAGATATCTAAAGAGCAACACATTTATATCTGACTCGGAAGGATATTGGAGAATTACAGGGGATTACAGTTGGCTCGGACTTGCATGCCCATCTCCCCACTCCATGGATGAGTGCCGAGGAGAGGAGGGGGAAAAAAGCGAGAGAGGCTTTACAGCCCTGGAAGTCAACCAACAAAACACTACTACCCAGAGGCTAAATCACAAATTGACCCGTGTAATAAAATCAAAGCAAGACCAGCTTAAAAATCAGGACCGATTACAACACTGAGGAGCAGTGAAACACAGGGAACTGCAATACTGTCTGGACTGGGAAACAGGCGTGCCAAAGAGAACAGTAGAGGAAATGAATGACCTTCATTACTGCAAAATTTATTTAAATTTTTTAAAATTTATTTTTTAAATTTTTTAATTTTTGTTTTTTTCATTATTTGCAATGTTAACTCAAGAAACTATTTTTTTCTTTTTTCCTCACTTGATTTTACCTTTTTAATTATTACACTGTATACATAATCAACGTTATTACTACTATTTTACCTTTTTATCTTATTTTCTTTTGTTTATTCTTATTATTTTTATTACTATTATTATTTTTATTTTTTTTATTTTGGGATTATTGTTCTACAGTCTATATTTATCTTACCTTCTCCAATGATTTATTCTATCTCAACTCTACCTTTATGCCATCACTCTCTTCCTAATCTTTTCCCTTTGATGCCCTATTTATCTTAACCCTTTCCTGCTCTAGATTTTCCCTATTCTTTGTTTACCTCCTCCTAAAATTTCACCCTACTTGTGTATTTCACCCTACTTGTGTATTTCACCCTAATTTCCAACCGCCTGCTCCAAGCCCATTCACACCTTCCTTGTCGCTGTCCTAAAAAAAAATTAAAAAAGCCAAAACTGGTTTTGCTCATTGGATAGAGCATCGGCCTGCGGACAGAAAGGTCCAGGGTTTGATTCTGGTTAAGGGCATGCACCTTGGTTGCAGGCACATCCCCAGAGTGGGCTGTGCAAGAGGCAGCTGATCAATGATTCTCTTTCATCGATATCTTTAACTCTCTATCCTGCTCTCTTCCTCTCTGTAAAATATCAATAAAATATATTTTTAAAATGTTTTAAAAAAAGGCTCTCTATCCCTTTGTAGTTGTATGTTGAATATTAACTATATTGAAGTTTTATGCTTTTTTGTAAGATTGGTTTGCCTATTCTTTTTGTTTGATTGTATATTTTTGTTAGCTGAGTTCTAGTCACCTTTATTGGAGGTTATTAATATTGCAAACACATTTCTATTCAGTGCCTTGTGTGTTATACCTGGTTGTGTTGTCTTTTGTGCCTTTAAATCAAAGCAGGAGAGAGAACTACATAACCAGACATCCTGAATATAGAGATCATGGGGAGACAAAAAAGCAGCCCGCATATGAAAGAAAAACAGGCTTCACCAGAAAAGGAAGCAACCTACCAGAGCAAGAATTCGGAGTATTGAACATAAGATGGCTAAAAATAATGAAAAACAAATTTGACAATATGAGTAAGAACCAAGAGGAAATGAAGAAGAACCAGGAAGAAATGAAAAATGACATCGCTACTGTAAAGAACTCATAGAAAGCATCAGGAGCAGACCAGAAGAAGCAGAGGACCGCATCAGAGAGCTAGAAGACAAGATGGAAAAAAATACCCAATTAGAACAGCTTTGGGAAAAAAAAATTTAAAAAGCAGGAAAAGAGTCTAAGGGAACTTTGGGGCAATAAAAAAAAAACAACAATATTAGAATAATAGGGGTTCCAGAAGGAAAGGAAACTGAGGAAGACATGGAAAACGTAATTCAAGAAATATTGACAGAAAACTTTCCTGAGATAGAGAAGAAAAAACCCACACAAATCCAAGAGGCTCGCAGAGTCCCAAGCAAAATGAACCCCAGAAGACCGACGCCAAGGCACATTATAATTAAATTGGCAAACACCAATGACAAAATAAGAATCTTAAAAGCAGCCAGAGTCAGAAAGTTACATATAAAGGAACCCCTGTCAGACTAGCAACTGATTTCTCCACAGAAACTCATCAGGCCAGAAGGGAATGGGATGAAACATACAAAGTCATGCAAAGGAAGGGTCTGAATCCAAGAATACTGTACCCAGCAAGGCTATCAATCAAAATTGAAGGTGAAATCAGGAGCTTCACAGACAAAAACAGACTAAGGGAATTTATCACCACCAAACCAGCAAAGCAAGAAATACTAAAGGGTCTACTGTAAAAATAAATAGAAAGCGAAGAAGGAACACAAGGGTATAGAATAAAAAGGGCATCAAATAAGTACCTATCAATGATAACTTTAAAGGTAAATGGATAAAATGCTCCAATCAAAAGACATAGGGTAACAAATTGGATAAGAAAACAAGACCCATATTTCTGTTGTGTACCAGAAACCCACTTCAGAATAAACGATGCACACAGACTGAGGGTGAAGGGATGGAAAAAGGTTTTCCAGGGGAATGGAAATGAAAAAAAAAAAAAAAAAAAAAAAAAGCTGGGGTAACAATATTTATATCTCACAAATTATTCTCAGAATGAAGGACATAACAAGAGATAATGAAGGTAACTTCATAATACTAAAGCTAGGATTCCAACAAGAAGAAATAACCCTTGTAAATATATATGCACCCAATACAGGAGCACTCAAGTACATAAAAAAAAAGAAAAAAGAAAAAAAAAACCTGCTGGAACACATTA